TTAACTAAAACTAAACTAAACCAACCAAACTACTTTAACTAAACCAAATATTTAGATATTATAATAATTAAATTTTTTATAATTTATTTTTTATAGAATATAACTGGAGTTAAGAAAGATGCCAAGTAAAGAATGCTACTAGTAAGAAAAACGCCAAAGAGATTCAAGAAAGTGCCCAGGTCAAAAGCCTTTATACAATTTATTTTACTCTCTGTGTTAGTCTGAGGCACAGCATATTCATATAATATTGGGTATGAGGTATACTATATAAATCAAAACTACATGTAGTCATATAATATGATTTTTAGACAAGCAATAATTTTATATCAATTAATACAAAAATGCACAGCTCTAATGGATCAATAGATTTAGTCAAAATTTTGCAAAGATCATTATTGCATCTCTACAAGCAAAGTTGCAGAGCTATTTCTTGAAAAAGAAAAGAAACTAATTTCTTTCTTTCTTGCTTTTTTTCAAGAAAATAATTAGTATATTAAATTTTTTATAATACTGTTTTTTAATACCCACTTTTTTCTTTGTAAATAAATAGAGTATATAACCGCAGAGCCACCTTTATCAATGAGTTTATTATTTCCAATTTGTGAATATTTAAACTTACGTTATATTCTTTCAAAAACTTAGAAAAACTTAGAAAATTATATAAAACTTATAATAGATACAAAACCACACTGGTCTTTGCAAAATTTTGACTAAATCTATCGAACTGTTAGAGCTGTGCATCTATTTATTAATTGTTATAAAACTATCACTTGTCTAAAAATCTTCATTAATAAATTTTATTATATGACTACATATAGTTTTGATTTATATAGTACTAGCTTTCTGCCCGTGCCTTCATTACGAGAATTTTGAAAATTGTTTCACTTTAAAAAATTCTATTATTGAATTTCTTCAGATAATTGCAGTATGTGTTAAGTTAGTTTGTATCAGAATTATTATGACTCCAACTCCAATATGAGCTACAGTAAAATTTACTTGCCATTTTAGTAACAATAGCTCATAGTTAAAGTTAAGATATATTGAAATTATTCCTCTTACAAGTTTTTGCAAGAAATTTTGTTATAAAACTCATTCGCTATTCTAATAATCAAAAACGCTATGAGTTAATTTTGTATTAGAATTATTGTAATTTCTATAAAGAGTTGCTTTAAAATATCTTTTTTGTTACAAAATCTGCTATTCTAGTTAGCATGGAATATATCTAAGGTCAAGTTAGTATACATCGAATTATCATAACTTCTATTATAAGCTAAAGTAAAACTTACTTGCTATTCCAGTGGTACTGGTTTGTAGTTAAAGTTGAGTCAGTTTGTATTACAATTACCATCATGAGTTGCTGTAAAAAATTATATTACAAAATTTACTTGCTACTCTGATAATTATATGAGGTAAATTAATTTGCATTTTAATTATTAAAGAATTCACTATTCTAGTGAGAAATAGTATATAGTCAAGGTTTAGTTAATTTTGTATTAGAATTTTTGTAATTTCATGAATTACTGTAAAAAATTCCTTTGCTGAACTTACTATTCTAGTAATATATGGTAAAAATATGTAAGTTTGTATACAGTTGTCTTCCCATACAATCACACAGTAAATTTTTTTAAAAATATATATATAAAGAAGTTGTGCTTATATAGAGATTTTTTCTTATAAATTGAATCATAATTTGGTCTAAATAAAATATGATTACATATGATGTGATTATATGGGAGGTGACTATATAAAGGGACAACTGTAATGTGCAAAACCCCAGAGTAGAGCAAGCTATAAGTTTTCACATTTATTTAGCTCTAAGTAATGGGTCAGTGAAACTATTTTACAATTTTGGAATTAATCACATTTTATTTTACATAGTATGTATGTATTAAATATATACTGGTATATACCATAATATGTATAATTAATTTAATATCGATTATACATATAAATGTTATAATTTTTGTCTTTTTGTATAACAAATGTCGTAATTAATTTTCCCACTTGATCATGATAATCATACGTATTTGATATTAGATGCCTGTATCTAATCAAGGTTCTTTTGATAGCATATTTAGTAAAACATATTTGACCTTTATTAATGTTCAATATTGATTAAACTGTCTATAATATTGATACACTCTATATTATATTCTATTTTGTTCTATTAAATTGAATCTGTTTTCACAAAAATGAAAAAATACGATACAAAAAGCTATACTTGTATTGTCTAGAAAAAAATAATAGGCTATGAAAAATTTTTAAAAAAATAGGCTATGAAAATTTTTTAAAGATATTATTCTATTTTTCAATATTATTAATAATCTAGCTTTTCATACAGAGTGTCACTTTCGCAGTTTCTGGTGACAACCAATTTCGCGTTTTAGTAATTGTGTTACTAGCAATAGAGAATACCCATTCTGATACAACAGAAATTGCTTGAATCGAGAGATAGTCAAGAGCTATCTTGCTTAAAACTGGATATTTATTAACTTGTAACTGCCACCATAAAAGAGAATTTGTCTCTTTTTTATTTTCAGGCAATGCGAGATATTGGTTTAGTTCAGATGAAAGTAATGTAGTTAAACTAGAGGGCTTATTATTAGGTATTGTTCTATGCTGTTGAAACTGTGAAAAGTACTGTTGAGTATTGTTTACGTTAATGTTAAAACATGGTTTATCAATAGGTAATGCAGTTGTGTTCGTTAAAAATTATTAAAATTTGTCTATGTGCGTTTTGTACTACATCAGCAAATTTAATAGGGCGTAATATTGCGCAATAATTTACGAAGCGTAAGAAAACCATAATATTACGTA